AACCTTTTTTTTTTTTTTTTTTTGTGAATTTAAGGTAATATGAATGAATTAAACTAAGAAAAACACGTAACAAAATTGAAATCACCCAATAAATTTTTTTTTTTTTTTTGTGTGTGAATTTATTTCGTCTTAGGTTAACCACCAAAAAGTAATAACAAATTTCCAACTTATTTTACTAAACATGACTTTACTTGTAAGAAGCTTATATTTTAGAATAAGCTCAACCAAAAATTCCAATTATGTTTGATTTTAAAAAATTGAAATCTTGATCCAAAATTTCTCTCTATAATAATGTCATAATGGAAATTAAATGTTTGCATTTTTCAATATTTTTGATAATTGCAGATGAGAGTAACGTGGGTGAGTGGAAATCAACAGTCCCAACTTGTTCAATATGGAAATGGAAAATCAGCAACCTCACTTGTTTCTACATTTTCACAAAGTGATATGTGCAATAGTAAGTTACTTTCTTTAAAGACGACCAAATAATTTAATCAAGATATCTATTTAACATTATTGGTGTTAAAACATCAGTGATCTATATAGCATTAATATGACATTAAATGAGAGATAAAATTAAATAAATCATTTAACTCTACCTTTTATTAAGTCTATCACTTAACGTCGCCTAGATAGGTTTTGTAGCACCAGTAGTGTTAGATAGCATTATTCTACAATAAAACTTGTGCAACAGTTGAATTGTGTTGTGTTGGGACCAAATTATTAAACTATGGCTCCGTTTAATCCTCATTTTTTTTCTCATTCTAATGAAAAATATGACCGTTGGAGTTGATTTTTTGAATTGCAATGATCATATTTCTCACTATAATGAGGAAAAAATGGGGATCAAATACGCTCTATATTGGTGTGATTGGCATCTTCATTCTATGTTAATGTTTTGTTAGCTTCAAGAAGTAATTGATATTATTATTATTTAAAATTTCGAAATTTCTAAAATGATTTTTCTTTTAAAATAAGCTTCCTACTTACAAAGTCCTGCCAAGGATTTTGGGTGGCATGACCCTGGCTACATTCATTCAGCAGTAATGACAGGACTCAACCCTTCGACCAAGTACTCCTACAGATATGGAAGGTAATTTTTGTTTTTTGTTTCCAAGTTAAAATAAAAAGAGGAAAAATGGAATTGAAAATCCAATGCTTTAAGAAAATATTTTTTATTTCGACCGATAAAAAAAAGTAGTGCAACGCCATACTTGTCTTCTAAGTTCAAGCGGATTATTGACCTTCATTTTGTCAATTGGTTCGCTGAATTTGTAATTTAGGCTGATCGAGTCACTGCGTCAATCATCATCACCTTAAAAAAATATTGCAGATGGACAATAAAAGCGATCAAATGAAGTTTAGTAACCCAGTTGAAACTTAGGAATAAATATTCGACGATTCATAAAAAAATTTACCCTAAAAAATTTGTTGTGTGTTACTAAGACATACATGTATTAAACATAAATGTGTACGTATAATAGTGATTCAAGTGGATGGAGCAATTGGACAACATTCAAAACACCACCTGCTGGTGGATCAGATGAACTTAAATTTCTTGCATTTGGAGACATGGGCAAGGCTCCTCGTGATAATTCTACTGAACACTACATACAGGTAATACATATGGATATATCAGTTACACAAAATATGAATATAATGCATATGACTAAAAATGGCCTAATTTTGGGTGAAAAATATAGCCAGGATCATTATCAGTCATCGAAGCTATGGCCGAAGAACTGTCATCTGGTGGGGTCGACTCGATATTTCACATTGGAGACATAAGCTATGCCACTGGTTTTCTAGTAGAATGGGATTTTTTCCTTCACCAAATCAGCCCAGTTGCCTCTAAAGTTTCTTATATGACTGCAATTGGGAACCATGAGAGGTGTGTTGTTTCTTTAAAAATGTGTACGTGTTAGTTCACACATCTAACGAGAAAATGGTTTTGATACAATTTAAACTTTTAGACGAATTGATAAAAGTTTGAAGTATAATCTTTCAGGGATTATGAAGACTCCGGCTCGGTTTATTTTACTCCAGACTCTGGCGGAGAGTGTGGGGTACCTTACGAGACATATTTTCCAATGCCAACAGTTGCAAAGGATAAGCCATGGTATTCCATAGAGCAAGGGAGTGTTCACTTTACGGTAATTTCAACCGAGCATAATTGGACACAAAACGCAGAACAGGTACATAGATTCCCCTTCTTTTACGTTGTTCAACAATTCCACCTATGCCTCATTTAGTTGTGGACGATATAATACTAGACAACAAAGTCTTGTCCAATGCTGTTCAATAATGTATAATACTAATTCCAAACAAAACCTTATATCTTTGCCGTCTTATGAAACAAAATAATAAGTGTTGCACTTAATTTGCATTGTGTCCTTGCACAGTATGAATGGATGAAAAAGGACATGGCCACAGTTGATCGATCAAGAACTCCATGGTTAATATTCACAGGGTAAGTTAAACTGCATATTGATTTGGCTGACCTTTGACTGAAAATCTGCTCATCTTCCTTTCATGAATAGCCTAAAAGTTCAATCAACGGATATTATTGAGAAAAGAATGTATTTTAAATAGTGATATGATGGGAAATATGTGGTTTAAAAATAAGGAAAAGTTATTGATGTGATGAAAAATATTATTTTATTGAATAGTTTGTGGTTGAAAATGAGTTTTGAAAGACTATATAAGCATGGAGTCAACTACCTGAATCTAAATTTGACTATTCCATACAATTCATTGCTATATTTACTTAATATAATCCCAGTAAGAAAAGCCCCCAAAGAAACATGTATAAAGTTATTCATAATATAAATTACACAAATTTTACATGTCCGCCTAAACACAGGCACAAACAGCCAGCAAGTTCAATGAAATTGATTAATATTGTGAGTCGATTACAGGCACAGGCCCATGTATTCCTCCAATAAAGGAACCATTCTGCCAAGTGTCGACAACAAATTTGTCCAAGCCATGGAGCCATTGCTACTAGCCAACGAGGTAATTAACACAAATTTCAGTAAGTATTGGTTCCATCATTAATTGTATTCATTGACGTAAACTGGAAACATGCATGTGTCTACAGGTTGATCTGGTTCTGTTTGGCCATGTTCACAACTATGAAAGAACCTGTGCTGTTTATAAGAATCAGTGCAAAGCAATGCCTGAGAAAGATACGAATGGAACTGATACATATGATAATACTGGGTATAGTGCACCAGTTCATGCAGTTATTGGAATGGCTGGTTTTAGCTTGGATGAGTTCTCCACTAATGTAAGTAGTTACAACCTCATCGAAACTCCTCATCCAGCCCCCACATTCATCATCATCTCAAATATCGAACTCGGCTCCTCAGTCAATTTTTCTTGACATAAGAGTTCCATCTTTCAACTTTTGTAGCATGAGATGTCTTTATGCAATTAATTAAGGATGATCTTCAACGAAATTCATGTCTTGGGTCATAAATGTTACCAGATGTTAGAGACTCAAATGTCAAAGGGAAATTGAATGGATATTCAAATGCTCGTTTGAGTCTAAAACGAAAACCATAGGTGCGATTTTTCCATGGAAATACTAAAATACATATTGGAATCATGGGGTTGTTTGTTCTTCTTGATGGACAGGGGAATCCATGGAGTTTGGTTAGGATTTCCGAGTTTGGATACACAAGAGTTCATGCAACAAAGAAAGAGCTAAAAGTTGAGGTCAGTTCATACACATTTTATTCTTCAAATGTCTTGAGACAATTAAACTTGAACCCAAATCTTTGTCTGCTTAAATTTTAAAGGAGATTCAATAAGAACATCAATAGGAAATCTATATCCATTCGATTTAAAACTGAAAATACATATGTGAATTAATTTTTTGAAATGTTTATTTCATTTTGCAGTATGTAAACGCAAACACAAGAAAGGTTGAAGACAACTTCCGAATTATCAGAAGTTGAAAAAAATAATACTAGTAATACACAAGAATTAAAATTGTATACGTATATTGTAAGGAAAGAACATGAGAAAACTTAAGAGCACTTGTACTTTCTCAATAGCTTCTCTGTTGTTTCTCAATAGATTGTCTGATTTTTATATGTGAATCTAAACTGTGTTGACCGAGTTAATTGCAACCTGGTTTCTGAAGAACAGCTGTTAGAATAAAAACCAGACTAGTTCCCCAAGCCAATTCCCAGTTTTTCCCGTCAAACTGGACAGACCGGGCTGGTTTTTAAAGCATTGGTAAATGTACGATAAATTGAAGGGAGTAATGGAAAAGATCTAGCTTTGATATAAAAACAAAAAATAAAAAATTCTTGTGTGCATGCTCGCCAAGAATGTGCATCGCATTCAACGAAGAGCAACAGCAACATAAATAAACAAGGAATGAGCCCAAAAATAACAGTGGGAACCATGATATAAATCAAGCCACCAAGACAGCCTAAATATGAGTTATGATTGGTAAGTATTTAAGCTTCTATGGGCAAGGCATCTAGAAAATTAGACGACAGTGGACAATGAAGAAGTATTTAACATATTTAACTTCAAATTCATCATCAAAGAATTACCCAAAAAAGGGCATTGAATCAGATTGCATGGAAAGGAAAGAATATCCATACAAATTCTACTACATGAACATAAAATGCTAGCTCTAACAGGCAAGCGAAACTTTGAATGGAGGCCATCAGTTTTAAATACGTACAAGGAACTGACCCAGAGTCCTATCCTATTTGTTACATGCATTAATCTATGTACCGGGTCTCCTTGTATATGATGAAGTGCAAACAGCTACATGTGTACAACTTCTTTTGCTTTACATCAACCTTGGCAAGCAAATCTCCAATTTTCCATCTCCAAAGACAAAAGATATGTCATTTGCCCCATACTAGCTGGAAAATATTTCGGCTAGCAGGTCCGCTGATCAAGTTGTTACTCTGCCTCTTCAACATTTCTTCTTGAGCAGAAACATCACCATCCTTTTTAAAGTAAAATAAAAGAACACTGAATCAATAAAGGCCCACACATATTATTAAGCACAATTATTAATGGGTAAAACACTCTTTCTTCTCATTTTTATTTTTTAAGAATTGTAGACACGTGGCTAGCAAAAGGATTGAATTCCTCAAACATTTTTATTAGTTAAATTAAGCAAATTCAATTTCATTAATCACCTTGATACTTAGAGGTAATACAACAAAGTATTTTATCCTATTACTTTAGGCACCACAACATACATAACTATATCACAGCAATTACATATAATGATTGTACTACATTTAGGATTAGAGTTTAGAAAGAAACAAATGTTACATTATTGGTGTACATTGTGTAGGAGTAAGCATAGACTACAGAATATAGCTTAAGTGTAGCGCTCAACAACATGAAACGACAAACTAAGGCTCTATTTGAGCCCCATTTTTTGGGAGAATAAATTCTGTAATAGTTATTTTTTTTAGAGAATGTGTGATTTAAAATGGTGGCAAAATTTTTGAGTTTAAGTGCAACATTATTTTATTGGGAAAATATGTGGGTGATAATGGGTTTGGAGAAAAATGAATTTTCAGAGAATGAGGTTCAAATAGGGGCTAAGTTTTATTCTCAATTAATGTGATGTTAGCTACACGATTTATTTTTTCTATTCTCCATTCTGTTGGATTCATCTGTACTCCTACTGGAACAATGCAACCAGATCATTCACAGCTGTAACAGACCACACCAACTTTCGTCGACCTCTCCCTCTTATAAACGTGTTCTGTTAATATTGCATCACTCTTATAAACAGAAGCGTCTCACACTACCAACAGACATGCATTGATCCTCTAAGTCACCCTTAACTTATGCTCAACCAGTGGACCTCTACTTGTTAGCATATATCCTCATTTATTATTTTATCAATTCTAGTCCTGTCATACATGATATCCATCTTAATATCCTGCTACATTCATCTTATGGACAGTTTTCCTTTCAGAAGTCCAACACTCAGTACTCTAAAGCATAAAAGTCTGATGATTCTTTTGGAAAATTGACCTTTTAAGCTTATTTCAATCTTCCTATAACACAGACCGTTGTAACACTTCTTTCATCCAAATTGATCTAATTCTAAGCATGACATCCTTTTCAAGAGCTCCCTCTACTACTATCCCTATTCCTACTCTTACTAAAAAGGGCATATTATGTGTTGTGCCTTAGAACTCACACCTCTAACTACTGAAGTACCCCAAGTCTCCAACGTATTAAATTATAATTTAAATTCCTGCTAATTTCATCTGCTATGTAGTACGTCATTATAAATACCTAGATGTCTCCCAAAATCCAAATAACAACAAATTGATTTCAAGCAGGTTGCAATCTATGAACTGAGTTGCACTTATGACCAAAATTAATTGGCCTTCTCTATGTCATATTGACCGATTTCAGCTATACCCAAAACTTGTGCATTTGCAATACCAACCTTCAGACAGACATAAAGCAGAAATATTTGCTGGTCAAGCAACCTTAAAGGGGTAAATAAGATACAATATGTATATAATTTATAGATAACAGAATGCAATTAGGGATGCACTCTTAAAGGGTGCCAATTTTTTATCATAATTAATTTTTGCTCTCCCTTTTGGGGTCATGCCATTAGACTATTGACAGTATTCTTGTTAAACAGATACTAACTACGGCTGTATATTTATGTTTGCGAACATTTGGCAAAAAGATTTGGTCCAGAATTAGTTAGATATTGAAGAGAAACTAACTTCTTAATTACGAAGACAAAAGAAAGAATATTGCCTCATAAAGCTGGCAGATAATCGGCAAACCAGAGGACCTATAGTTTACAAGCATTACCTAACATTGTCCTTCAAGTAATTCTATGTAACACGTGCCGGCCTTGATTTACCATGCAGAAGAACCAGATTTAAATGCAGGAAACAAAAATTAGATGAAAGACAAACTTGAATTGCAGGGAAGAGTTGAAAGTAATTTGCTTGAGAAACTCCTTTCTTTTCTTTTTTTTGATAGATCAAGATTTTTTGTTAATAATGACTAAAAACATGTATACAAGAGGAATACTGAGACAATGACGTCCTAAACTCAGACCAAAAACCGTCATTGATTTTTATATGTTGCGATGAAATGTGAATACCATAACATCAAAGAGATGCTCTCTCAAGTTTAGTGCTTAAACTTATAGATGAGATAATTAATAGAGACTATTTATGAAACTATAGTAGAAGGTTGAGGACCAACTTGCTACTCGGTCAATAGGTTGGGGACCAATGAGCCAATTGATGCACGCCGGAACAGCCCCAAGTATTAGCTAATATATCAAACAACATATATAAGCGACTGATTTTTAATTGGAGGGGAGTTTTCAATCTAGATATTTAAAAAAATTTAGTGAATTAAAAAGTTTAGGTGTATTCAATCAAAGCTAAAAGTCATAAAAGTCTTGAGATATTTCAATATAGAAAGTCCTTAAAAGTCAAATCAAGACTTTTTAGAAGTCTTAAAAGGTCACAGATATTCACAATGTCAATGATTTCTAATGACTTTCATAAAATACTTCACACACTAAATTTTAAGCAAAAAGTACAAATACAAAATCTCTTAAAAATTCTATAATTCACCCCAAGATTTTCAAAGACCTTTACAAAAAAGGTGTCTTTCCATCTTCAATTCTTCTCTCTCTTCTCATTCTACAACCCTAGAGCCATGATACTAAAAATAAATACTTTTCTCTCTTCAACTTGTTTTTATTGTCTCTTTTTAATATTCTAATTTTCTTTTTATCTCTCTTCTTTTTCATTATTTTCTCCTCTTTTTCTATGAAAAATATAAATTCTCATAAGATTCTTCACTCTCTTCTTTTCATGCTTTCCTCAAATTTTTTATAGAGAAATATCAATTTCTAATTAAATTTTTATATATTTGCTGCTTGTTCTAACTTTCTACAGGTATTTAACATATTGATATTGTTGAACATTAGAGAATTCTCTTTTCACCAAATAGTGTGTGTGTATATATATATATATATATATGGTTTTTATTGTTCCAATTCAGGTGACACATTTTTTTTTATTCTTTTTTGAAAATATTTTTATTGAAGTGAGAAATATAATTTTTCTTACTCTCTTTGTGGATCAATCACACAAGGAGCGGCTCAAAAGGATGTGAATAAGATATATACAAGATATTTTTCTAAAATGAAAATTTGTAAAAGTCAAATGAACATTATAAAAGTCTAAGTCTATGAAGACTTTCATTGTTTCCATAAAAAGTCGGTAAGAGTTCATTGAAATTTACAAAAGTCGTATACTCAAAAATAATAATAATAATAAATAAATAAATAAAGAACGAATGTAAAGTCTTTAAAAATCCAAACTAAATACACCCCCCCAGATTGTTGTTGCCAACTATCATTGGCCAATAACCACAATGCGAAATATGAAATTGTAAAATGTAATGAACCAGTTTTTTATAATGAAGATTACTAGAAACTTTAAATACAACAGAAATAGACAAGTACTTCATCATTTATGCTTGCTAAAAAGATGGATTGTGATAATAAGAATGGAGAGAACTCACGAGAAGAGAGTATGCACGAGCAAGGGATATCAATGTTGGATACATATCCAAAACAGCAAGAGCTATTGTCTCTGTTACATGTGGAACCTGTGTTCATAGAATATTCAGGAAGTTTCAGTTAGTTTATCCTAGTAGAATTGAGGACTAAGTACGGAAAATAGCATCCTAAGGAAGGACTAAACAAGCCTCCATTTCTCACCAAGTTCTCGAATTCATACTCATTATGTCTAAAAATCTCAATCAGAAAGGGAATACCCAAGATGATTATAATACTTTACTGTAGGAGTTTGAATTTAACAGAAGACCACCTCAGCAACAATACCATTTTCTCAACAGCCATGAGCATAAGATAACTCTCCAACAACCCCCTTTCCCCACCTTCAAAGGAAAAAGGAAAGAAAATGACGAGAAAGACAAAAAGAGGATAAAGGAGATCAGAGAGGTACCGGGAAGACTGGGAAATGAGAAGTCAGTATTATAAAAATGAAAATATAAAATGAGCCCGGGTGAAAAAACTGGATTCCATGGACCATGGTTAATGTTTCATTATAGTTCCAGCAGCACAGTAGAGAACAAACACATTTTATTAAACAGTTACTGTGACACCATGCGCAAGTTTATAGCCAAATTGCTTCCTATGAATTATATACCTGCATAAGTTGGACCGCAAATACATCAGTAACTGTCATCTTATCCAAGTCTTCACAACTCTTGATAAATACATCAAAAGCTGGGCAGAGCCCAGGGCTTCTCTGCTCAGCATCCAAAGAACTATAGTATTCATCTATTGATTTAGTAAGATAACCATACTTCCTCAATGTATCTGCCAAGCCACTTGTTCTTTGCACATCAAATCCCTCCAAGATCTCAGTTGTAAAACAGCTGCCATAAGCAAGTTAGATTAAATTAAACCAAGGCCTAACAGTACATTACGATTAAAAATTGAAGCGCTTCAATTTTTAGGATAACACAAAATCTTGTGATGGTCTAGAATACACAACATAAAAGCACTGTCAATAGGATTTCCATCCCGCATTCACAATATAATCGAGTAATATCTCTTAGTCAGATATTACAGTTCACTCTAAATAAGGAGTTAACAAATCTAAAGAGAAAGGGAAATTTAGAAATATTACATAAATGGATTTTTATGAAGTCCAAGAACACTTACGCGGTTTTGATGCTTTCAGCAGCCTCCGACGAATTGGGATCACCTTCCACCAGATATGTCATCTTTTTAAATCCACATCTCTTTCAAAGACCAATTGCATAAAAAGGGAGAAATAAATTAATAGTTATTAGTTCATGCATCAACGCTGTTATTACTCTAATCCATACTTGAATAGGAGCCTTTTGGGCTTTTCAATGTGCTAATTGTTATCTAAAATGATCACAAATTTTAAATGTTTGGTTTAGCTGAAAAGGTAGATAAAAAACTAAGTCATAGTCAGCAATTAATTTTAACTACACAATTCGTACGATCCACAACTTTTATAAATTTTTCAACCATACATTCATCAATTTTTATCAAAATTCGCTAAAAATCTGATTTTAAGCAAAACCAAACATGGGTACAATGTTCTTTACTCATAGCATAAAGAAAGAAAAAGAACTGTCTCAGCTTCACCACCAAGGATAAAATGCCATAACTATCATCGCAACCCTTGGACACTTTTACCGCTAATCACAGCTGCGCTGCTACTATCACAGCCTACGGCATCAAACCTACGGGATCAAGCAGATGGGGGAAGAGAGAGGGAGAAGCAACGAGATGGGTGACTCAGAAATTGTTTTTAAGGGTGAAACTAGAAAATAATGCTAGTTAAAGCCTCATTAAATATATTGGTCCTAGCCAGACATAACCAAACTTTATGAAACATTGTACATATTGACTAAAATAGATCTTAAAGAAGTTAAAAGCACTTTGTGGGAAGATGTACAATAGGGCACTCCACAGTTACGAAAACTTTTCCAAGTATATGCATCTTTTCCAAAAAGATAAAGGGGAGTCTATATCGAGTGCACCTACAAATAAATTCTATAATGAACTCATTTTGTTACAATAAGTTACTAAACGCTATAAAGAAACATAACAGCATGCCTTCCGATATCTCCATTAAAATATGTATGTCATTCATCCATAGAAAAGACACCCTCCTAAAATAGGTAGATAAAACTTTTAGGGAAACAAAAATCGTGACAATTGGTTTAAAATTAGAATAAACCAGGGAACAACAATATGGCACTTGAATTGTACCACTCCGAATAATGCTCACATTTCAATATAATAGATAATAATAGTAACAAACACCAACCAAATTCACACCCCACATGGACCTCTCATCTCTCTTGAAAATCTGTACATGTTGGTTCGTTATTTCTCTTTTCCCATTTGATTTTTGTGAAACATCCTTATCAATCTTTATTTCTTGCATGTACTTATTAAATTTTATACCATACGCCTTTTTCTATTTCCTAGTTTTCCTACTTAAATTGACAATGAATTTAAAGTTAGGTGCACATCCCAAGGTATCAATTAATACACAAAAAATGACTTCATATGTACATCATACATCTATGAATACACTAATCCTGTCCTGTTTCTTCCTTTGTTGCAGCTGACTATACAAAGTCATCTTGTGCTGATCTTGTGTGCAATCATATGGTCATAGAAAAGGATATACAAAATACAAGTTCTTAGTAAAGCAGGTTGGATGGAAACTTTAACACTTCTGAATACATTGCACAGCTGAAAAGAAACAATAATTTTTCATCTTTGCTCAAAATATTTCATAAGAGGGACAAGATTTCAGTAGGATCAGGTTAGAAGAGGGAATAGTAGACATAAATTAACTTGACCTAGTTGCTTTTGATCACCCTGTAAATGTAATAGAAACGAACAAAATGCAATGGCTGAAAACTTTGTTGTTGCTTTAAGTATTTACTTGAAAATATATGGAATCAACTAAGTTAGTTCCACCAATCACCCGAAAATCTTTAGAGAAATAGAAGCCTTCATCTTTATCAAAATAATAATAATAACTAAAAAGCATTACCACTTTACTCATTAGCAACTATTGGAGAAATAAATAGCAGAACTTAAGAAATATATATATGCGCTTTTAAGAAAATAAAAACAGTTCGTTTCGTTACATCTATCAAAGTAATTAAACATAAAATGAAGAAACAATACCAAGAGTCGTAGTTTTTGATCTCTATATCGATTGTCCCTGATAGAGAGGCGCAAATCATCAACATTCTTCCTCTCAACAATGAAGTCAAGAACATATTCACTGCCATCATATTTATGACGAGCTATCCAGATGCCATCCCCAACAGGCAACCTTCTAACCTATGGAAGACCAAATGTTATATTATTGCACTTCTGTCTGATGCGGTTTTTCTTTCTATCTATGCATGTATGTGCCTTCATTAGATGGCCAAATACTAATCAGCTATATGTTGTGACACCTCCGTCAAAATGGAAACATTAAATCTTTACTGGAAGGAGATCTATTAGTTGGTGTGATGCTACTGATTCAAAAAAATTGAAAACAACGAGAATAATATACAATGGGCATGGACTTATTACAGATTCATCTAGCTAACTTACCCACCACTAATAAAAAATGAGAGAAAATGACAAAGATGACAGTCCTTTTGGGATCAACATAAAACTTGAGCTCACCTCTATCTGAATTTTAAATTCAGCACATACTTTCTCAATAATTTTCCTGGAACGTGACCTGAAAATACCAATAGAGTTGTATAAATACTATAGAAATGGAACATGTTTCAATATGACAACATGCTAAAATGAAGCTATGGGCAAAGAATAAATGAACTAACAAATAGAGAACAGAAATTATCAATATTCAAATCGATGGGTCACTGAAGGAGAAGAATAAAAACAAAACAAGAACATAGTAGTTAGGCAAAGAGAATATGCTAATTACACATATTACTTCTCGATAACTAAGATAGAACACTATTATGTACGGAAGGAGATTCATTAGTCGTGATGTAATGTTAAAATTAACAATTCAAAAATGGTATTTAAATTATTTCTGTATAAAGCTAACTTACCGTCTAGTTATAAAATAGTAAAAAATATGACAATCAAAAAAACATATGATGTCAAAGAAGGTTTTCTATTGCCAATCAAAAAATTGGTGGGTTCCCTAGAATTACACTCACCTATAGATCATACACAAACTTTGATGCAAATTTTATATTATTGCAAACCAATAATGTACGTTACCCATAATTTACTATATACACACATGCTATTCGCTTTTTTATCTTTAATATTGAAAGTTCATTTCAAAGTTATACTCGAAATTTTAGCAATCAACCTAGATATCTAACTATCAAAACATATTCATTCAAACTCTAGATTTTTCTCATCTCTGTCATTTCAAGTGTTTCACATAATCGGTGACCAAAAGTTCAAACGTAGCTAAAAATAAAAAACTCCAATTAAGACTTGAGCAGTAACCATCCACATGTTGCCATCTATAAGAGAAGAACCACTTCCACACTTGCTTCTCAACAAAGCCAAGTCAAATTATTCCAGATATATAATGTTTATACCAATTATCAAATAAATGCCACCATAATGGGCAACTCCTCAAAAAAAAATGCAAAAGAATAACAAGAGTTCCTAAAATGGAAAGTGCATAATTCGAGTTTCCCTGCCAACATAATATTCACTAAATTCCTTCCACGCATAATTGAGATATAGCCACGCACATTCGTTGACACAGTGACAACCTATGCCAACAGTAAGCGACCAATAAATAATGTACCACTCGTATATAATTTTCCCATAATATCTAATTTTTACATGCCGTTTCTTTACAGTGTTTTGAGAAAATGGCTTGAGTGACATCACATGATCACAATAACTTTAAGACGTATATACCATTCGGGATTGTGTTGTGACATCACATCTGCTTATAAATGCTATTGGATTATGTCATGAATGAAGACATGGTGACATTGGATCCTTTATTCTAAGCAAACCCATCTAGAAAGTTGCCATGTTCCTTCGAAGAAGTGAGATTTAGCTATGCAACCTAAAACCAGTGTGGTCCAAAATGCAGGTATGCAATTCCATCATTCTGATTAATTTATTGTGGAGGATTTTTAATCGTGATCTCTGCAGAATCTTTAGCCTCTTCTAAAGTGCATCAACTTGCAAGAACTCAAATGTACCCATGGACAAAAGCTGCCTTTTGTTATTTACTAATATTTTTGGTTTCCAGTATGTCCTTCCATTAGACATCATTTTCCTTCAGTTACATTCATTGGAGAAAAGTAAAAAAAGCATGCCTCCTATGCCTATTGTTGTACAAATCCACCTCATTTCCCCAGCCTATTCACTGGAGGTAAGGTGGTCATGCCCCAGTCCATTCTGTTCCGATTCTTTCGGTTTATATAGAAGGGAAGGGATAATGCCAAACCTCCATCTAGGCATAGGATCGAAAACCCACTAACTACATACGATTTTTAGTAAAAACATAAATAAATAGAGAATAAAAACATGCACGATATTTTCCATCCACTTCAGTGGTAGGATTGGGCAGGAAGGTACATGAAAAAAAGTGTAGTTGAACATGCAAATTACGATCAAGTAGGTTGAAGGCAGCATTGATAATTTGCCAAAAAAAATTCAAATAACATAAATGAAAAGTAACTCTTGCGTTGGATGTACAAGGGAGAGTAACTTGTATACCCAACTTTTCCCTTTTCTAATACTATTCATTTATAACTTAATTTTGGAAGGTGGGAGTAGACTGGGTGCCTATGGTGCACAAAAGCTCCTACTTGGTTGCATTATGGTGCATGACACGTATTGGACACTATCACACCTTGGACATGTCGAGAGACATGTCCAATATGCTTAATGGCACCCCACTCTTTAACACATCAATATTTTGATTTTGTGGGAAATAGTAATACAAAGTAAAATTCAAAGTATTCATAACACAATGTACAATCAAAGTTATCGTAATAAAACAAATCAATTTCACCCACAAAATTCATATTCAATGCTTAAAACGAGCATTACCTATATTAAAAATAAAAAATATGGATAAGAAAATAATATACAAATGTATAATGTTGAAGTACTTTAAAGGGTCCATACAATTTTTAAGTTGTGAGTACAAGGAACTCTTAGATAATGCAACAAAATCCGACATTTTTAGTATAAGTGTTAGTCGAGACTAAACAACCACCACGTATATGCTAAAGAATATCATCATAAGCTAAGAAAGGACATGAATATAATGTAAGAAGTCTTTCGCTAGCATAAAATAACATGAAATAAAAGACAGCCTTGCATGTGTACTCACCCTTGTGTGGCGAATTGCTCCCTACTATCTAATATCAAAATTACTCCATAAACATCATCAAATTTCTCTCCGAATTTCAAAGGTGGCATCGCTAGAACGTTTTGTTTAGATTCTGATCCTTGAATGCCTTGCTTTTCCATAACACAATCCTACAACACAACGAAACAAAACCTCAATCAAAAACCTGTACATTTATTTGTCAGAGTCAGACCCAATTACTAATTTTGACAACATGAAGAACTCACAAATAAATTCCTATGGTTCTTACATGATTTTTTAGCTCAACAACAAGAACATAAGCAATATATACTTGATTGTTTCACTAAAATATGTAACAATGTAATAATCCAAAAGAAATTACTTAATAAACTAATACAAGCAAGCCAAGAACATTAATTGTTTACACTCCACCTATGTTGCTTATATCTTTCAAATTAATTAAGAACCGTGACACATTTTACATCTTAGATAATGGTCTAATCAAATTTAAGCTTACATTTGGCTCAACAACAAGTGAGGAAGGGGATATAGGTACACTCCCTGCTGAGGAAATACTATTCTAGTCTTCTATACCTCATAGGTATAAGAAAGGAGAAGAGAGAGGTGGGAAAAGAGATTGTTTTATTCACATTACCATATTCTTTTCATAGTCCAAGTATTCTAGTTGTGGTTAACACAGTCACTTTTGTGCTTTGCCTCATCCAACCCCTTCACTTCGGGGAGGGAAGAAAAAGTAGCAAGGAGGGATATGGCCTTTTTCATTTCCTTAACAAACATGGTGATGTGTACTTTTTTATTGTAATTTTTACTGATTTTCACCCCCAAACAAACATAGGCCAAGCATCTGCATTATTATGAACCAACTACATGGAAACTCAAAACTTACAGCGGATGAGCAAGCTTTTAAAGTACAAAAACCCTTTCCAGGATCTCGAAGAACTGCCAACTTTTGATTATTAGATGCAACAATTGGAGAAGCATTCATCAGTCTATTCTCCCTGGCACTAAGACAAACTTGACCTGGCATAAAAAAGGCACCATTAGGTTAGAATAAAGGTAAGAAAAATGAGATAATGTCTTTCACAAGCATTCCAATTAGTAGATAGCTACCACCTTTTCCATCTGAATTGAAATAAAAGAAGAAAAAAAAAAAGAGACCACCACACAGTCCATATTAAATGAAGCTTGTGCATCACAATGATCATATGTTGGAGTGTTTTAAGGGTCATAGTCAAACCATAAACTTCATCTTCTCGGAGACGACAAAGAACAGTTGGCCAGATTGATGACATCTCTTTGCTCCGAGATATTTCTGAAACCTCAGCAAATGCACGGAAAATTTGCTGCTCAGAAAAACCCATTCTGACAAACTACAAGATACAAACTGGAATCAGATAAAATCATGTATTCACATATGCAAAGAGAGAAAAACAGGAGGATAAAATTATAGCAACACAATATAAGATGGACAAATATAAACATCAATTAAAAAGGAAAGCATCAGAGAAATGCAGAAGAAGATAAATCTTTGCATAAATTAAATGTAATAATTACATAACAACATAAACTTGGCGAGAATTTGAACTCCCTAACTGATTACGGTACAGGGGTTCCATAAAGCTCTACCCATGAGAAAGAAATGACTTATAATACTGCTCCTAGAGTAGGCGTTGAGCTAAAGACTAATGTATCATAAATGTTACCAGATTAAGGGTACATCAACTTGCAACAAATAAGAATTTCAAAAACTAACCTTATCAAGATATTCAGATGGAATATCAATTGATTTCTTCTGCTTCTTCAAGCCAGCAGATGGAAGTGCCATTTTTTTAAATGAAGCATCATTATCCAACCCCAAATCCGACATGACTACAGTTGAGTCAACTATTGATTTGTCCCTTTGGTCTAGATCTGAAACGTCATTCAAACTGTCCAAATTCTTATTTGGATCGAGCATTTCAGATCTCAATAGGCATTCACATGCTACTTCTTTCCCTTCTTCTGTCAGCATGTATCTGCATTTATGGTTCTCAATAGAACGCATGGTGGAGAGATTCAACATCATTAAATTATTTTACAGACTAAATGGAACTCTTACTTAAGAGCAAATGCCCAAATTATTAGACAGAGCGTCCAATGATGATATTCAATTCATCTTAGTTCAAAATATTTATATAGCAGTCATACCATTCAATAACTACATAATTGACTAACTCAAATGTTTCTAGCAGTCATACACTTTCAAGCCTAATAAGTACATGAACGATAAATGAATCCCGAGTAAATGGAAAGGATTTCATCCAGAACTTAATATCAGAAGTGGTGGCTGAAGTGCATTCCACCAATTTTTCTTAAGCATTTCCTGGTATTGTTCAGCAGTTAGGTATTAACTTAGAATTAATCATATTACTAATTCCATGCCTTTAAGAGAAAAACTGCATTGGACAGTATAGAAGAGTAAAGGGGTGTGGGCAGTACCAGGCCCGATAATACAGTTAGCAAACAAGAAATTCAGCTAATGATTCAAAGGTATACTGCAACTGATAAGGAACAAAAGTTTCTCCCATTGTGAACTTAAGGGGAAAGAAAACAGTAAAACTAACTGAAATTAGCAATTTGGAATCCTGTGTATCTAATTTGGATATATTCTGCCGATGATTAACTATGGTAGTCACTAGAATTAAATCCAGCAGAAAAATAGAAAAGAGAGAAGAAAAACCATAGTCATACTTCGCCGGGCAGCTCGACTTCACAACAAGTCCTTTAGTTATTAACGTCTTCATGCAGTTCCATCCACTGTACCAGGTCCCAGGTGAGCTTCCAGAATATCCAGATTTCCCTTTTGTTTTTTCAGGCCTAAAGATAGCAGAAGAACATCTTAGAAACAAATCAGGGTAACTGATGCACAAGCTCATTTATAAATTAGAAGCGGTGAATTCATACGCAATTGGCACACGAGCCAATCCACTAATGTCAGCTGCATCAATAAGCTCTTGTTTTCGCATAAATTCGTTTCCATTTTCTGTCCCCCTAATGCCATAAAAACGTTGAACCGGCATTGGTAATGAAACAGAATTAAATCACAAAGAAGACGAGAAAAAATATGAGCAGAAAACTCTGACCACGTGCCTGTAGAGTGTAATCAACAAGGCATAGGCGACAGACTTCTTTTGTGGCACATAGCGCTTGGGTTCCTTATTTTTATAATTCCCTATAAGTGTTCGAAAGTAAAATATAAAGAGCCCACCAGGTAAAAAACACTTGAAGTAGAGGGGACATCCATATATTGCATAAGAAACGCATACATACAGAAGAGGAAATACCTTTTCCAGTCATATCTTCATTCTTGGAAACACGAGAATCTGTCCCAAAAAACCCTTGCATTTGCTTCAAAATCCATTTACCCACACCCCTACAGTCAGATACACAATTGCAATGGCACAAAGCCTTTATTCAAATTTATTATTCTAACTCCAGGGATAACAGAAGTATTCCATAAATGCCTAGAATAGAAAAGGATATATAGTAAAGTAAAATTTGAAAATATGAGAAAATCTTCATCTACTCTAGAGAAAATATTAAAAGAACTACAAAGCTTGTAAATGCTTAGAAGAAGTACAAGAATTTCTGCATAAAGTACAATAAGTACAATGCAAAATTTGTTCTAACCTCCAGGTTCTCAAGGGAAACACTGGTAAAAGCAAAGTTTTCAGTTTTGGGAAGGAATAAAAATTGAACCGTCCAAATAAAGACCTAATATTGATTACCCAAATTCTTCAATCCAATAGAAATATTTAACGATTGATCACAAAATTCAACTCCTGAGACTGAACGTGCTTTAAGAAAACATCCCTTGATCAGATATAAATGAGAACAAAACTTAGCCCCTATTTGATCCCCGTTACCAAAACAATTCATTTTTTTCTAAACTCAGTTTCAACCATGTATTCTTACGATATAATATTTTGCACATAAACCAAATACCTTTTTTTACTTTTTAACCACACATTCTCCAAATATTCACTATTACATAACTTATTTTCAAGCAAAAGTGTGGCTCAAACATAGGCTTAATCTTTAAACTAAAATCAACATCTAAACTGGCTTCAAACTCTTTATCATAATAAAACATTGCTTCATTTTTTCCAAACCAAATAAAAAATTTCTTTCAGGGGTAAAATAAAAACATAAAGAGTACAAGATTGATCTGGGTTCGAATGATAAATTGTGATAAAAGCTTTTGAGTTTTTACTTACTTGATTTGAGACAAGTCTTTCAGGGATTTGATTGGGGCGCTGAAACTACAAACATTGGAATAGGCCTTGTTAAGGGTCGAGTCGATATTGTCGGAGATGCCCTGGGTACGCTGCGCCATTTCTTGCCGCTTATTCCACATGTACGCCGCTAACTCTGCGTTTTCCGGGCAAGAAACTTGCTTTTGACGATCCATTTTCCAAAATATTCAGCAAAAATTTAGGGTTTTATTTACATGGGAATTCAAATTTAGCGAATTTTGTGATCGATTTTGCTAGGGTTTTTGGATGGTAAGATTATTCATTTAGGGGGGGAAATGGCGCCAGGAGTCTTTTTGAAGTAGAATGTGACTCGGAAAAGTTTGCAAATTGGCCCCTTTACTTCCGGCCAGTTATAAATGAGACCCTTGGGTTTTTTTCCCCCATTTTTTTTATTCTCTCTCCCTCCTAAAAAAAAAACAATTTTCTATTTCCATGAGACATTACAGTAAAGCTTAGCATCAAATAATCATCAACTATTTAAATACTTTCACCTAATAAAGAGTAATTTAAAGTTATAAAAAGACTAATACATTGGTTGTAAACAACACACGAAACATATGCCCACGTTTGATCTACATTATTATCTCATTAAAATGAAAAATATAACCGTTATTCATCACATCAATATTTAAATTCAAATTTTCTATTTCTTATGTAGGCCCCAATAACGGTCATATTTTTCATTTTAATGAGATAATAACATAGATCAAACGGAGGCATATGTTTCGTGTGTTGTTTACAACCAATGTATTAATCTTTTTATAACTTTAAATTTCTCTTTATTTTTAACCACTGTAATCTAAGACGATGTATATGGAACATTCTATTGCCAGTGAAGCTCGACCTAGTCGTTTAAGAAACTGTGGTGAAATTTGAATATTCTTAATAAAAATCTTGACTCCAGTCTAATGAAGGTAATGAACTTTGCTTGAGTATATATTTCGGGTGTGTTTGATCCACATTATTTTGGAAGAATGTATTTTGGAATGGTAGATTGATGGAGAACGTGTGGTTGAAAAGGAAGGAAAAGTTATTGATGTGATGTAAATTATTATTTTATTGAAAGATGTGTGGTTGAAAATGAGTAGAAGAATAAAAATGAAAATTTTAACGTGTACCAAATAGGGGCTAAATCTGCAGGTACATGAGATTTTGCATAGTGAAACGCTATGGGTGTGTTTGATCCACATTATTTTGGAAGAATATATTTTGGAATAGTAGATTGATGGAAAATGTGTGGTTGACAAGGAAGGAAAAATTATTGATGTGATGGAAATTATTATTTTATTGAAAGATGTGTGATTGAAAATGAGTAGAAGAATGAGAATGAAAATTTTAATGTGTACCAAACAGGGGCTTCATTCAAAATATTTCTGCATAGATGTCATGTCACACATTTTCTTGACTCGACACCTCAATTTACATACCAAGTTAACGGGTTAAAGTCAAAGGGATTTATAATTTATATGATTGCTGATTTTTGTACAACATCCAAATTTGGCTAAAATTCGCAATCAAAAATCAATTTAACGATGAATAAGAACACGAAAATAAACACAAAACGATTTACACTAGACAAGAGAGACAACCTGGTGAGATCAAATATAATTAAATTTTTGAGTAATTATGTCCAAAAATTGTCATCTTTTTAGAGCTTTTCCTCGCTCAAATTGTAGGAAGACATGTGATTTGCATTGGACCATAAACAGGGAAAAAATTGATCTTCTGTTGCAGATTTCATGTCTCTTTAAGAGGACTTTCAGACACACCTTGCCTCGCATCTGCCATGATCGAGGTTAGCAATTGGTGTTGAAATATTCACGTTCACAAACTTCACCAGCTTACTAGCACGTGCAATAGCTCTCACCAGATCACACATCCAGCTCCTACCAGCAAACCAGCAGCTTACATTTCACATGCTTATCTCCAGCTCATCAGCAAATCCGGTTCAGCAGCTCACTCCAGCATATTCTAGATCCTTCTTCTTGTAGTTAGTTTGTTAGATTTTAGTCCATAAATAGGGTAATGTATTCACACTTTTACTTGAGCTTGATGAATAATAAAATTCCCCTTTCACAAGTTCCTTCAATGTGTTTATTCATGTTGAACCTATCCTTTAATTTCAGTTTCTGATTATCTCCAATTTCGTTTCTGTTTTCATTCCAGCTTAAGTTTCGGTTTCTTTCATTTTATTTTCTGCTGTTTTGTTTCTGCTGGTTTTGATTCTCTGCATCTATCTTTCATTCTATTTCTGCTGGTTCATATCTTTTAGTTTCTGCTGCTGGTGCAACTCGTTTGCTGCTGTAACTGCTGGTTCATATTTTCTACTGATGTGTGCTGTGGTTTCGTTCATTCAATTTCTCAAGATTTGGTGCCCTCTTCTTCAAGGGCTCTCCTCCGCGATGATGATTAGTAACATCAGCAGCAGGGCTTATTCCACCGTGAGAATGATGGTGCGAGATACCTTTGACAGTTTCTCCCGTGCTTTGAAGCACGATGTCGTCATTGCATAGTAATCAAGATCCTCTGGAAGTCGACTGACCATATACAAACAGAAACAAGCTCAAGACAAAAGATTCTGCTTATCAGTAACGCAACAACATTGTGGAACTAAGATCCATGGAATATTATTACTTGCAAGTGAATAATCTTACTCCTTGTCAAGATAACTCACGAGGATGTTATTCATTCGGTTCTTTCTAAAGAAAGGATATCAATTCAAGCTTATATTTTATGAAGAATCAGCTACGCAGTAGAGTAGTAGCAGAAACACTGAAGGATAGAGGGAATTCAGAATTAATTAAAAGGTTAAAATTCAATTCCTCATTTTATGATTTTCTTAATTGACCAATCGAAAGACCGAGCATCTTTAACAAATAAAGAAAAAGACTGTTGAATCAAGGTAAACATCTATGAATTTTGGTACTATGTTTACTATACGTAATTGAAATTTCAGCAAGACATAGGCTTGAACTGTATTATAGCCCTGAGTTGGCCTCTCAAACAGAGACGCAGAACTAAGATGAATACTTGAAAGCAAAAAATAGTAGATACAATCCATAATATTGCTTCTACGTACATAAACACGACTGCATCGGTTTATTACTATAGTATTACTAAAAGAATTGGAAAAAAAAGAAAGAAAAAAAGAAAGAATCAGCAATTAGTGTACCGCGCTACATGGAAATCTTATTAAACAGTTGTTCAATGCTGATTGCCTCCACCACTTAGTTTTCCTTCTTCTTGCCTTCGGATTTTACGTCTGGGATGCATGATGACCAGAAGAGGGGTAACAGTGTGCACACGGCCTGTATCAAAAGGCCGCATGGCAAGCCAGAGAAGTCTTCTCCAGTCACTCCAACATAAGATGCAAGAGCCACTCCTAAGTAACCACTCACTATAAACGCAAGAGCAGTAGCAGACATTACGAAGGCCATGACCGAACCCTCACACCCGGGTGGGCAAAGCTGTGCCATCAAAACATTGAAAGGTAGAATCTTGAAGAAGCATAAAACCTCTAGCAATCCTGAGAAAACCATGACATATAGTGTGTCGGGAATGCCTATACTCTGGTACACCCCATTCACAAACAAAACATCTGACATCACGAAAATAGCCATAAAGACTTGAATGGCTGCGATTAGTTTTCTTGGTGGAATCGATTTGAGGTAACAATTATATACAATTCCCCAGAGCAGCATAGCTGCTTGCCCGAACACCTTCGATATCCCCAGTAGTGACGATTCAATCATCAAATGTTGGGTTTGGTAGTAAAACATGGTTCCAGTCAGGGCCGGGATTACAGCATATGATAGAGCCAACCAGATTATAGAGTAACAGATCTCTGGCTTCTGTAAAGCAACCAAGAGCTCAGATAATTGCTTTCTAAAACCTACTAAGGATGGACTTTTGGGAAGGTCTAAAGAGCTTTCGCAAATGAAAAGTGTTATTATGAACTGAAAGGAAAGAAGAATGCCAAACATGAGGAACATCATCTGCGTTGAGAATTTATCAATAGTAATTCCACCAATAAGATTTCCCAGAACTCCACCAATGGACGAGGCCATCCAAACAAATGACTGAAGTTCACCCGAGGAAGATGGTTTCGAGTTCTTGGATGAGGTAGGTTGTTTTCCAGTCTCAGCAACAATGGCATCATTGGCAACTTCAACTATTGAAGCACCCAGATTCCCTAGCAGCAGATAAATAGTGATTGATAGAAATGAGATGCCTGATTTGGCGAAAAGCGCAATAGTTATCCATGACACTGCTTGTAAAAATGCTGCAGCAAGATTTAAATTTGTTGGTCAACAAAACAAATATTCATGCGTGAAGTATCTAACAAATCAATGAAGTGTTAGTAAAATCTATCAGCCATAAAGTCACGAGTCCAGAATGCAGTAACAGTCGAAAAACCTTTCTGTTAATTTCTGTTACGTACATATAAGAATAATGGGAAAGCATTAGAATCACTCTCTCTCTTCAGATGTCATAGATTCTCTATAATACCAGGATGATATACTAAGTAGATTTTATAAGTGATTTGTCAAACACTGAGACACATTATGATGTATTCCATTCTTGACAGTTTGGATTGGCATTGGTAATGGAAAATTTTGATTGAATTTGCAATCGCTAACAAATTAAGCCAGTATACGTAAAAGATTTGATAATATCTTATTATTTGATTGTTACCACCTATGATAGAATGGCACTCTTGTAAGGTGTACTTCATTTCCTAAGTGTGTAGAGATTTCCATTACAGAAAACAAAATGTATAAAATATAAACTCAAAGAAGGAATTGAACTTTCTCCACGTCACAAATATTATGGGGGGACTATATAAAGTGCTTCAGGGGTTCTTGTGATAACATGCATAGCCCTCTATAAACACAAGAAGTGGTGTATACTGCTGAAACGAAAGAAAGTCCTTGAGTATAGGTTATTAAATGTACCAAACGGCATAAAACTTGGACATTCAAGTGACCTGGTAAGGAAGTGAAAAGAAATTAAGCATATTTATTCAAAGCCTACTCAATCAATTAAGAAATAAGTAGATCAGAAGAGAAGAGTACCTCCTAGGGCGATGTAAGGGACACGGTGTTGGCCAAAGATGTAGAAGGAATCAGAGAGGATACCGTAAAAAGGCTTAGCAACCATGGGCAGATTGGCAGAGTTCTGCAGGATCTGGAGAGTGGAGGGGTCCACTCTCATCCCATCCTTGAGGAAAAAGTTGACACCCATCCATGGGAAGCACCTCAACCCCTGCACCCAGAACCCTATCCCAAGCAACACCTTCCGATTTCTCTCAGATTCACTACCATTTCTGTCTGACCCCATTTCAGATTTCCCTCTGTTGAACGTCTACAATGATTTATTTGGCTGATACTGGAAATAGTGATGTATGAATTTATTGATTCTGCAGCAGAGAGGCTGCAGTCAATCAGCTTCTGATTGTAATTGTCGTCAGCAGCTAGTGAATGAAGAAATAAGTGTCCGAAGCCCAGGATGTAAAACTATGAAGATCAATTTCCAGGTGCAAGAAACAATTAGATGAACTAGTTGAAGAAAAATATTGCAATCTCATCAAATATAGAACAGCACCTTTTTTAATACACGTGAAGAAAACCAATGGCACATTGCAAAGATTGAGGTAGGCATGGTCCAGTTTGGTCCCAGTTCTCCGATTCCCATTGAGAATTGTGCAAATGGAATCAATGTTTCCATAAACAAAACTGGAACCGGACCACTCACTTCCAGTCCTGTCCTATTATGAACAAGACTTTAACTATTAAGAGCTTGTTTGTCTCCCATTATTGGGAGAAAATTAGTGTAATGAATAATATTTTTTGGAGAACGTGTGGTTGAAAATTAAAGTAACTTTATTGGTTTGTGTGTAGAATATTTTATTGGGTGAATGTGTGGTGGAGAATCTTATTGTAGCAAACAATTTTTTGGATTAATGGTAGACAAACAGGGGCTAAATCTAATTCTAACATGTTAAAAACAGAGGTTACTGAACAAATGAACATTTATTTGTGGAATTATTTCTTTAATTTCAAAGAATAAACAAATCAGATGATGTCTCAACTTTTTAAAATAAAGAAAGAAGAAAACCTAACCAAGAATGTCAAGAACTTTGAAGAAACGTGAAAGCCTGATCATCAAGCTTAATTGGAACTTCAAAGCACAAGCAATAATTAAAAAAAAAATATTGCTTCACATGTTTAAATGGACTAGCAATTAAATTAACAACAAAACTTCATCATTTATACAACAAAGTTCAATAAGTAATGACTAAACTTCATAATCTAGCAAATCTAATTACACTGAAACTTTCATCGTCCAGAAGGCATTAACTAAACATTCAAATTACAATTATGAAATTCAAGTGTCAGGGATTCATGATGCCAACTGGAAATCAAATTAAAAATTTAACTAAATTGGATATTCAAATATCACCAACCAGTATTGAAATTAAGTAATTAAATATTCACTTAGGCCCTATTTGAGCCACATTATTTTTTTCATTCCCATTCTTCTACTCATTTTCAAGTACACATTTTCAATAAAATAATATTTTTCATCACACCAATAACTTTTCCTTCTTTTTTAATTACATATTCCCCATCACATCAACAGTAAAAATGCATTTTTATAACCAAAATGTGCACCAAACTAAAAGGCATCAACCAAATTATTATAAACATAATCCAAGAGTCAAGCTTGAAACTGAAAGGAAAAAATAGTCTACTTCAAACTTACAAGCCTGAAACTGAAAGGAAGGCAGTATCAAACTGTGTGAACTTTAAAATCCCAAAAAAAAAA